TACCGGGGCTGAACCCCCCCACCTCCCCCAGCCTGTCCTCCCAGCAGAGGTTCTCCAGCCCTCACAGCATCTCCACGGCCTTCTCTGGACCCACTCCAACAGGTCCATGTCCTTCTCATGTTGGTGGCCCCAGGAATGCACCGTCCCACCTCCATGCAACTACTGCCCACAAACCGCACCTTGTTCCTTTCAGATGACAACCTGAGGATTTCATAATGCTGCTGATAAACTGCCCCGAGCCCGTCCCCATTTCGAGAAGGACAAGCTGGGGTAGGGGGAAGTGAAACAGCCCAGCCATCGTCACATCGCGAGTCATCAGCCAGGAATGAAGCCAGGAGCCCAGGGCTGGCAGCGCCCCCGTCCCCCCACAGCAGGGATGCAGAAAAAAGCAGTTTATCCACAACCAGCCACACAGGACTAAAAAAAAATCATGGTGATGAGGAAGAAATACAGCCCTGACAAAATAACCGTGGTAGCAGGTTTCTTTGCAGACATCGGTGTTCCCTTCCTCTGCAGTGAGGGGCGAAGCATTTATTTTCCCCCACACTTCATTTGTGCCATTGCAAAAAGAGGCACAACAGCTCTTTCCTATCTGTTGGAGAGAAATAAGTGTTCTCAGAAACATTGCTGTGTGCTTTGTTAGAAAATTAAATATGCCAGTGCAGCTTTTACTGCAGATTACTTGCCCGAGCCATGGATTTTTTTAGCAGCATCACTTTTTTTGGTGTGAAAAAAAAAAAATATTTGGGAGTGGCTAAAAGATTTAGATGCCTGAGCCTTATTTTCAAAAGTTGCTTGACCAGACCGACCTTGGTGAGAGTCAGCAGGTTTCAGTCTTCAACATTATTTGATTACTTTTTTTAATGTTTTACCAAATGTTTCTTTGTAATGCACTCCGGAACACACTGCAGAGAGCAAGGCATTGCTTTTGTCTCATTAAGACCAAAATGCCCAAGAATCCACCCTCCAGGTTGCAAGCTGTTAGCCAATAGATCAGGTTTAAAGTGTGCCTCAGCATTATCATCATTTCTGTTTTTCCCCACGTAGTTTTAGAGGGTCCTCTGAGGACCAAATTATGAGACCCAAGGCCTTCCTCTTGGGTTATCCAAAATATTTGGCAATAACAGGCTCGGGGAAAACAAGGCCACATACCGAGAAAATTATTAAAGTGGAAGAAGAGACCTTGTATAGTGAAAGAAGAACAGCAGGTTGCAAAACTAAATGAAAACAAAACCCCACACTTGCTCAATTCGCGGCAATCACTACAGGCAGGGCAAGAGGAAACAAACATCATCTTTGGCGTATTTTTATTTTTGCACAGGTCTTTTGCAGGCAGCTGCAGGCAGCACAGGCTGCGGGAGGGAGCGCCACATGATTGGGGCATTTGGGGCAGTGCACGTGGAGCTTCGGGCCCTTGGCGGAGCAGGAGTGTGGTAGGATGCAAAAGAGCAACCCCTTTATTTCAGGAAACGTATAGAATCATAGTATGGTTTGGGTTGGAAGGGACTTTAAAGACCATCCAGTTCCACCCCCCTGCCCTGGGCAGAGACACCTCCCACCAGCCCAGGTTGCTCCAAACCCCGTCCAACCTGGCCTTGAACACCTCCAGGGATGGGGCAGCCACAGCTTCTCTGGGCAACCTGCGCCAGGGGCTCACCGCCCTCACAGGAAAGAATTTCTTCCTAATATCTAACCTAATCCCCCCTCTTCCAGTTTAAAACCATTCCCCCTCGTCCCATCACTCCCCTCCCTGATCCAGACTCCCTCCCCAGCTTTCCTGGAGCCCCTTTAGGGACTGAAAGGGGCTCTAAGGTCTCCCCTTTTTCGCCTTCTCTTCTCCAGGCTGAACCCCCCCAACTCTCCCAGCCTGTCCTCCCAGCAGAG